AAAAAAAAAAAAAAAAAACAAACAAACCGGGGTACAGGCAATGGGAATGCCGCCCCCATCTCAGCCAGCTATTCTCTCTGTCCTTCTCTTCCTCTGAAGCAATTGGAGAGTGTCTGCTGGCAGCGGGATGGCCGCCTGCTTGTCAGCTGTCACTCTGATGGCAGCTACTGCCAGTGGTCCATGTCCAGAGACACCCAGCACCCAGAGCCCCTCCGCAGCCTCGTGCCTTATGGTGAGTGTTCCCCCTCCTGCTGAGCCTGGCCCTGAGCCCATGTCCAGGTGTGGGGTGCCCAATTCATAGTACCAAATCTTGGGGCCAGAGAGAGGAAAGGGTTTGTCTAAAGCCTCACAACACATGGATACGCTGGACACCATTTGGGCCATGGGCACAAATTCAAACCATACAACAAAAGCATTGGTATCCCCTTAGTATTTTGGGGAAATAAAAAAAGCCACACAGCAGGTTTCCTGATGCCCAGTGTGGCTCTCTCAGGGAACCACTCAGAGCAACTCTCCCAGGCGTAGCTGAACCATCTGGGTGTGGGCATGAAAAATCTGTGCCTGTGAGGACTAGCACATGTCTGTGAGTGGGGGGAGCCATTCAAGCTAATTCGTTTTCTTTTAGGTCCATTTCCTTGCAAAGCTATTACCAAAATCTTCTGGCTGACCACCAAGCAGGGGTATGTATTGGTGCTCTGTCCTCTTTCTAGAACTTTCCTGGAGGGCTGGGAAGGCTGCTCAGGCTTCTGCTTGGGGAGACAGTGGCTAGCGAACACCTTCAGGTCCCATGGTGGGGTCTTGGACACTGGGATAGGAGAGAAGGGTAGACTTGCCACTAAGTGGCTCAACTCCTACAAAAGTTATTCCCACTCCTGCCTACTGCCACCCTCCCAGAGAGGTGATTTCGATCAGCAGATTTTAAACTCCTTTAGCAGCAGCTCCATTTCCTTTTTTTTTTTTTTTTTTACGGTTTTTGGCCAGGGCTGGATTTGAACCCAGCACCTCCAGCATATGGGGCCAGCACCCTACTCCTTTGAGCCACAGGCGCCACCCAGCAGCTCCAGACAAGATGATTGGGGGAGCACTCAGGGTTACCAGAAGGGGCTGCTGAGATTCAGAACCCTTGGCCTGGGTGCCCCTACTAACCCCCAACTTCCTGGGCTGTTGCATTCAGGAAGAAATGGGGTCCAGCCAGCCCCTCCTTAGCACCTTGACTGAGTGGTCACCCTGAGACCGTCCCCCCCTCCCAGGGATCTGACACAAAGGCTGGTCCTGCATGCCAGGCCCACCCCCCACTCCTCTGTGCCTGCCAGGTTGCCCTTCACCATATTCCAGGGTGGCATGCCACGGGCCAGCTATGGGGACCGCCACTGCATCTCAGTGGTCCATGATGGCCAGCAGACGGCCTTCGACTTCACCTCCCGTGTCATCGACTTCACTGTCCTCACTAAGGCAGACCCCTCAGCTGGTAAGAGTGGATGTGCAGGGTTGGGTGAGGGAGAGGTTGGGTGTGACAGGTGTGGGGCAGGTCCAGGTGGAGACCTATTCAGGAGTTCCCAAACCCACCAGTGTTCTGGGTCTCTGGGCCTCGTTGCACACCTTCTTATTGCCACTGAGACCAGTAGCCTCAGTGTGCCCCTTCTCTCGCTGCATCCTCCCCAGCTGGGGACTCTGCCTAGCCACACCTTCCTGTACTCTGATGGGACTTGGCTCAGGGAGCAGGTCAGCATTGTTGGGTTTAACACCACCCAGCCTGGACATGGTGAAGCCTTTCTTTGGGGCAGGGCAGGAGTTAGCCATGTGGGACCAGCACTGGGCCACCCTCCTGGAGCTCCAGCAGAGCCGCAAAGCCCTGAGTCACCCTCATAAATTAGGTGACAGGCAAGACTAGAAAAGGCTGATGTCGAAACCTGGAGAGGAGGTCTCAGCAGTGTGCCGGGAGGGAGGGAGGTGGGGCTGCTCAGGAACTCTGGCCTGTGTTCTCCTGCTTCTCCACCTTGAATGGGGTCTCCAAACCTGCTTCACTTTCCTCGCCTCATCTCCCTTCTCACACTGGGTGCTATAAGCAGGGCCCAGTGCTGCCCTGGCTTATAGCCTGGGGGCTCCTGGGCTGTGGTGGCTCCCGGTGTCCTTGGTTAATAGGACCTGACCCCCTGCAGAGCAGGCAGGAAGCCGGGGAAGAAACTTGCTCAGCTACATATTTAAGTCCAGTGGGGTTTTTTTTTTTTTTTTTTTTTTTGACAGAGTCTTACTTTGTTACCCTCAGTAAAGTACCATGGTGTCATAGCTCACAGTAATCTCAAACTCTTGGGCTCCAGTGATTCTCTTGCCTCAGCCTACTGAGTAGCTGGGACTACAGGTACCCGCCACAATACCCAGCTTTTTTTTTTTTTTAGAGACAGAGTCTCACTTTATTGCCCTTGGTAGAGTGCTGGGGCATCACGGCTCCAGCAACCTCCCAACTCCTGGGCTTAGACGATTCTCTTGCCTCAGCCTCCCAAGTAGCTGGGACTACAGGCGCCCACCACAACACCCAGCTATTTTTTTGGTTACAGTTTGGCCGGGGCCAGGTTTGAACCCACCACCCTCTGTATGTGGGGCCAGCACCCTACTCACTGAGCCACAGGTGCCACCCAATACCCAGCTATTTTTAGAGACAGGGTCTCACCCTTGCTCAGGCTGGTCTTGAACCTGTAAGCTCAGGGCAATCCATCTGCCTCAGCCTCCCAGAGTGCTAAGATTACAGGCATGAGCCACTGTACCTGGCCCTGAACAGTGGGGTTTTTTAAGCAGGCCACCTTCCTGTGACTGTGTCCCCAGCTTCTTCCCAGTTCCAGCAGACCAGGATATAGAGGTATGGGGGGTACCCTCCTCAGGCAAGATGTCAGCACCCTGAGGTGCTTAAGTGATTGCTCAGCCTGGTGGAGTCTGGCCAGACGGTCCTATTTAGCGAGCGGTTGTGTGCCAAGCCCTCTTCAGGGACAGACAGACAAAGCCCCTGCTCCTGTGGGACTAGATTCCAGTGT